ATTGTGTCTCTCCAGTTCACAAGTTTGTTTCGTTTGTCTTTATTGTCTTTTCTTTTGGTAACAAGTAACCATTTGACACATTTTTTTTTTTTGATCAGCTAAGAGAAATTTGTATTAAGGAGGCACTAGGGGTGCCAAACCCAAATACAGAAATGTTGAGAAATAGAAAAAGTTACAGATAGTGTTATGCTACTCCACCCTGTTTACAAATTACAGAACTAGGATACATTTAATGCGAACATTAAATGTATTTCACCATATAGTACTTCTTATATGATTAAGGAGGCTACGTATCAACTTTCCATACCAAATGGAGCTTGCAGAAGTAATGTCAATGGAAAACAACTATTGTAGTGACTTTATCTGCTTTTCTCTATGATTTTAGAAATTTGGTTTTGATGAAAAACATGGTTCTTCTCTTTAATAGATTTATGAATTCTAAGATGGTTTTTTTGATTCAATCTGTTAAAGAATGAAACATTCAAAGCAAACTTTGTCATTAGTTTCAATAAATAAAAAATATTTAATCCAAATGAGATAGAATACATGCTTTGTCTCGCCTTACACTTCATATGATAAGTCTTTAAAAGACACATTTCAAAGACGTTTTCGTAGACATTTCTTCTATATATAAATGCTTTATTTGTTAGCATTAAAACTCTAAATATTGGGGGATTACCTTTTGACTTAACAGGTTGTATTGTGAACATAAGACTAGAGGAAAAATGTTATTTTTCTCGGTTGGGCTTAGAGTTAAGGTAAGGGAAGCTAGAAATTTGTTTGGTTCTTTTGGTTTGAGTTGCATGTTGATAAATTGTCATTAAATGATAATTATGTTGGTTGGATTCTAGTTGAATGATGAAAGGTTGAGGTTTGTCCTTATGATACAAGTTGAGAGAACTTGATGATTTGATCATAATCTTGGTTGCATGTGCCATTTTGGTTGTAAATAGTTGAGAATTGATGTCTTTGATATCTTATGTTGCCTGTTGGAAAGTTTTGGATTTCAGGTGGATTGAGACAATTTTTTAAGTTTGCATTTACAAATTTCTGATATCGCATCAGGTGCGTCTTCATGGCGTCAGAAGCAATTCTAACTAAAGCTCTCTATCTCGTTCACGTTAAACACAAGATCAATCATGCAAAGCGCAAGGAGAGAACTATATTAAATAATAAATTGAATGAATTTTTCTTTTAATACTGACAGTGAAATGCTAGAAATAATTTGTATTTATTTATAAAAAATACTTTCCTATACTTTCATATTTGATAAAAAAAATAAAATGAGATTTGGTTAATTCGTTAAACTAAATATTTAATACAATTTTCATCTAAGATGAATAATATAGTACCCTACTTTTTTTTTTTTTATCATGTTATGCACTTAAGAATTGTATGGATATATATGACTACAAGTAAATAAGTGCTAAGCACATATCAAATTTTTTTAAACATCGTGTGTGAAGATGAACACTATCGTATGATACTCCAATGAACCAAAATTTATTTTTTCACTTAACAAGTAAAACATGAATATTTTAGATACTATTAAACACCAAAAAGTTTCTTATAATAATTTTTTATGCATGATATTTTAAAAAAAATATAAACAAAATCCACCAAATTAAGATTAAAAAAAAACGTAATCATTTCTATTCAAGTAATAATTAAAAAGAATATTTTCAAGTTCGATGTCGAGTTTTAATTATTTTTTTTAAATAATAACAAAGTAGTTTAATATGGTTTAAAAAGATAAATTTTTTGTTTGTTGTGGGAGTAATGTGCAAAATGTATATTCAAACAAAACAAGAGATAGAATAATTTAGGTATCTGGATATTATAGAAGTAACGTAAGTCTAATCTTAAATTTTGAACTTTTAGGTGAACATGAGTTCCACTGATGAATGATTATTAATTTCACTTTGAAATTGTATGAATAGTAGGTGAGTGCGACTGTATGATAACAAGCATAGGGGTATGATTAACTCGACATCATGAAGAAAGAGGAATGAAATTGAAAAAGTTTTAGTTGTTTGGGTTGTTCAACTTTTTCCCACGTAGTGATCACCAGATTAAGAGTTAGCTTTAAGGTACTAGAGATTGGAGATATTAGGGGTGAGCATTAGACCGACACCCGAATCGAACCCGAAAAACCCGATAAAAAATATTGTTTTTGGGTGGGTTCGGGCGGGTCTTATATGTAAATCGGGTTAAATTTTTGATTTTATACGGGTTATATTGGGCGGGTTCGGTTTTGAATTTTTAAACCCGCAAAAAACCGAACCCAACCGAAAATGAGATAAGTTTAAATTTTTATTACTTTTGTATAACTAAACAACAATGGTCCAAACTTAAAAGTCTTTATTTCAAGTATAATATAGCCATCAATTTGTAACTTATTTTTTTCCTTTTTCTCATAACTTAGATATTTATTTTGTCTTCTCCTTCCTCATTCAACTTCTCAACACACTAGTCCATTTTTAGAGTTATCTTTTTGCTTCTTTCTTTGTCTTTCTTTTCCATCTTCTTATCTCCATTTTGAGTACATTTTGTGTGACTGTGATTTCTTATGGTTTTGTAATCTAACTTTATATTTCTTTTCCATGTAACAACTATGAATTTTGTTATCTTTTATTTTTGCTTCTTTAGTTTGTAAATGTTTCAACTACGAATCTATTTACACCATCTATTGTCACCTTCATTCTATTTTTATACACTATTTTAAAAATATTTTTTATAGTTTTAAGTTTCATCTTCCTTAAGATAAATTGGTTTACAAAAAAATTCAAACCCGATTATACCCACCCGCTTAAATCCGAATCCGTTTCAACCCGAACCGCCTCAAATCGAAAGTTCAGTCGGTCGGATATGGGTCACATTTTTTCAAAGTCGGTTTACAATGGGTTGGACATTTTTCACCCGAACCCGACCAAACCCACCCGTTGCTCACCCCTAGGAGATATGGACAGGCAATGTATTGGGAGGTAGTTATGTATATTTCTAATTGATATTATATTTTTGTAAAAATATATTAATATATAATAAGTTTTATTTATCAAATTATTAGTTTATTTATAAATATACTAATAATATTATTGATATTAAATTATCAATAATATT